TGACAACGTTTTGGGTCAAATCACCGGATCAAACCAATGCTTTTATCCAATGGTATATATATATATATATATATATATATATATATATATATATATATATATATATATATATATATATAGTTTCTTTTCTTAATCATTTCACCCCAAGCAAGGCAATAAAGCCACTAAGATTCAAGGGGGCTACTAAGTGTTAGAGAATATGAGAAAAAACCCACTATTAAGGAGAGAGAACAATAAAAAAAATAGGAATTAAGAAGACAGAAGCTAATGATTGACATTGTATTTAAATTTTTGAAAACCAAAATTGACTGGAAAGCATGAAGCCTGAAGATATTTCAACAAGTGATAAGTGTCTGTCTATATTTCTGAGCTGAGGTATTATGTACACTATTTACATTATTCAAACTATTGTCCTCATCTTTGTCGCCATATTTATTACAACATTTTGGCCGTTGTACGCTCCAGCCTTCTTCGTTGTACACTCCGGCATCAAGGGCACATGGCACAGTGGATAAAGGCGTTAGTTAGATCCAGTGACAGGACAATACCTGGTTAAGGCAGTAGAGAACTTGAAGAGGGTAATTAACAGGAGATAACTGATAACTGACATCCATTAAACATGGCATGTGGAACTAGAACAGTCTACCCCATTGAGCAAATTCGACATTCCAACCACCTGAAGTAAGTAAATTCGACATTCCAACCACCTGAAGTAAGCAAATTCGACATTCCAACCACCTGAAGAAGGCCGGAGCGTACAATGGATGAAACGTTGTAATAATAAATATGGCAACAAAGATGAGGACAATAGTCCAAATAATGTAAATAGTGAAGTGATAAGTATGAAAGAAAAAACAATTAGTATAGTACTTACAGCTACTTCAGCCATTTTGACTGTAAAATGATAAGATCCTTTCACCAATCTAGTGCTGCACTTAAATTCATAAAGTCTTGGTACCATAGCGGAAGGTTTCTCAGAACAAATACCATGAAATTATTTATAGAAAAGGCAAAGAGAAGCTACCTTATGGCAGTGAGAAAGTGACTGAAGCTGAGATGCCAGGCTAGGACCGATAACGTTGTAGATTCTTCATTAGATTTCATCTAGAATCTCTAAATATATAGCAGAAACAACAAGCCAGATGAGGCAGCCATATTCGATACATGGAAGTATTGGCAACTCATAAATATGTAAGTTAATTTCTGTCGAGAAAGACCATCCGGTGAACCAACTTCCTTAGCTGTGGACCTTGCATTTCAATTTAATAGAATCCTTCCATAAAACATTAGCCCATGAAGGTACAAGTCATTCTCCTTGAGGTTAGCATCAACTATGCTGATGGAAGGCAGTAAAGGTTCTCTTAGATGATTAAAAGAACGGTTTTGTTATGGAGGTGTTAAAATAAACAAGCCATTTCTTGTCCCAGTTAACAACAGGTTGTAGATCTTTCTTGAGAGCAGATGCCAATTTGACATGATGAAATGGATCATACTTACCATTTAAGCAGGAGTAAATAATTTATGTCATCAGCACAGTTACCAAGTTGGGAACTGATGACATCAGGAATGTCATTGATGAAAATAAAGAACAATATAGGCTCAAACACACACACACACACACACATATATATATATATATATATATATATATATAGGTGTGTGGATGCTCAGCAACAAACACCCTTAATCTATTGACACAAAACAATGAAGATAATTAGAGACAGCCTATACCACATAAGATTCAAGAAGTCTAATGGTGGCTGGATCGTTAATGCCTGAATCATATCAAGAAGACATGATCTTTGTTATTGATTGCATTGGGTTTTCCCAACTAATCCCCTATCTAAGTAATATTCAGTCTCGATGCTACTTAACTTATATATATATATATATATATATATATATATATATATATATATGTATATATGTATGTATATACACACATGCACAAACACAAAGAGACACACATAGAGAAAAGAAGAGTCTATTTTATAGCTTTTATTTTTCAGCTAGGGTATATATATATATATATATATATATATATATATATATATATATATATATATATATATATATAATGAATAGAATAAAGAGTAGGTAGGAAAGAGACAATGTGAGAAGTATTATTGATAGTTGTTTTCATTTCTTCCTCCCTCCCTGTACATCAGAACACTTATAGCTTATTTCTTTACAAAGAACAACAAAACTGAAAAAAAAAAAAATAAAAAAAAAGAGAGAAATAAAAAAGAAAACTTAATATAAAAACCTGAAAGAATGGCTTCGGAAAATCATAAAGAGTTCATATTTCTTTGATTCCAATTCCAATAGAAAATTCTTTGATATTCTTGCAGAGGTGCCAAATAATGAAGTAGAGACATGCACCGAATCTAATCGAAGTGCTTTTGTGTCAATATCAGTCAGAAGAAATCGGTAAAATGCTTTCATATCTCCTTTCCTCAACTTCTTTGTGACTTGGCTCTCTTCTTCACCGAACTTCTCT